GGGATCAGGGTGGGAATTTTGGGATCGGGATGGGAATTGGGGCTCCCCAATTTCCAGGAATTCTGGGATTGGGGAACACTTGGGGAATTTGGGATCAGAGTGGGAATTTTGGGATTGGGACTGTGGGAGTTCAGGCTCAGCATTCCCAGGGAATTTGGGGACTGGGATTTGTGGGAATTCAGCCCAGCATTCCCAGGAATTTGGGGATCAGGGAGGGATTTTGGGGATTTGGACTGTGGAAATTTTGGGATTTGCGGGAATTTTGGGATTGGGATTTGTGGGAATTCAGAGATTGGTGGGAATCCAACCCAGCATTCCCAGGAATTTGGGGATTGGGATTTGTGGGAATTTTGGGAGTGGGATTTGCGGGAATCCAGGCTCAGCATTCCCAGGGAATTCTGGGATTTGTGGGAATTCAGATTGGGGATCAGGGAGGGATTTTGGGGATTGGGATTTGTGGGAATTTTGGGGCTGGGATTTGTGGGAATTCAGGGATTGGGACTGTGGGAATTGCAGGGATTGGTGGGAATCCAACCCAGCATTCCCAGGAATTTGGGGATTGGGATTTGTGGGAATTTTGGGAGTGGGATTTGCGGGAATCCAGGCTCAGCATTCCCAGGGAATTCTGGGATTGGGATTGTGGGAATTTGGGGATCAGGGAGGGATTTTGGGGATTGGGATTTGTGGGAATTTTGGGGCTGGGATTTGTGGGAATTTTGGGATTGGGGTTTGTGGGAATTCAGGGATTGGTGGGAATCCAGCCCAGCATTCCCAGGAGTTTGGGGATTGGGACAGTGGGAATTTTGGGAGTGGGATTTGTGGGAATTCAGGGATTGGGACTGTAGGAATTGTGGGATTTGCGGTAATTTCGGGATTGGGGTTGGTGGGAATCCAGCCCAGCATTCCCAGGGAATTTTTCAGCCCAAAAAATCCCAAAAAAATTGGGGTTTTTAATGGGGAGGGGGAATTGCCTGGGAATTCCCAGAGATGGGAGGAAAAATTGGGAAAAAATTGGGGGAAAATTGGGGAAAAAGGGGAGAAAATGGGAAAATATTGGGGAAAAAAGGGAAAATATTGGGAAAAAAGGGGGAAAATTGGGAATAAAGGGGAACAATTGGGAATAAGGGGAAAAAAAAGGAGGAAAATTGGGAAAAAAATGGGAAAAGTGAAAGAAAAAAGGTGGGAAAATGCTGGAAAATTTGGAAAAAAGGAGGAAAATTGGGAAAATATTGGGATAAAAGGGGGGAAATGAAAGAAAAAAGGTGAAAAATGAATTGGGAAAGGGGAAATTGGGTTTGGGGATTTTCCTGGGATTTTGTGGGAAAATTCAGGGAAAAATGCTGGGAAATTGAGGGGAAAAAGGGAATTTTTGGGGTTTTGGGATCCCAGTTTCGCTGGGAATTCCCCCTCAAATCCCAGATTTTTTTTTGGGGGATCAAACCCTCAAAATTCCCTTTAAAAATCCCCCATTTTCAACCAAAATTCCCAAAAAAAGGGAATTTAAATGCAAAAAAAACCCCAAAATTCCCTTTTTGAGCCCCACAATTCCCAGGGAATTTTTCCTTTTTTTTCCAGGGATTTTCCCTTTTTTCCTTTTTTTCCCTTTTTTCCAGGAGGTTTTTCCAGGTTTTTTGTGGGATGGGGAGAATTTCCCTGGAATGTTAATGCCAGAGGGGGGAGGGGCCTCGTTTGTCTTTATTTGCCTTTAATTAATTATTGAGAGGCAATTCCAGCCCTTTCCCAAGGGAAAATCCAGGGATTTTCTGGGATCATTTTCCCATTTTCTCAGCCAGATGGATCCTAAAGGATGAGCCCAAAAAAAATTGGGATTTTGGGGGGGGGGGAAAGGAGGAAAAAATGGAATTTTGGGGGAAAATAGGGGGGAAAATTGGGATTTTAGGGGGAAAAATTGGGATTTTAGGGAGAAAATTGGGATTTTAGGGGGAAAATTGGGAATTTTAGGGGAAAAATTGGGAATTTTAGGGGGAAATGGGAGGGAAATGAGGGATTTTGGAAGGAAAATTGGGAATTTTGGGGGGTAAATGTGGGATTTTGGAGGGAAAATGGGGAGGAAAATTGGGAATTTGGGGGGGGAAGGAGGAAGTGTGGAGGAAAATTTGGGATTTTGGGGAGAGGGAATTGGGAATTGGGGGGGAAACCTCTGGAATTTGGGGATTGGAGATTCCTGGGACTGGAATTTTTGGGAATTGAAATTCCCGGGGCTGGAATTTTTGGGATCAGGGAGGGAATTTCAGGATTTGGGTGGGAATTTCTGGATCAGGGAAGGAATTTGGGGATTGGGATTTCAGGATCAGGGTGGGAATTTGGGATCAGGGTGGGAATTTTGGGATCGGGATGGGAATTGGGGCTCCCCAATTTCCAGGAATTCTGGGATTGGGGAACACTTGGGGAATTTGGGATCAGAGTGGGAATTTTGGGATTGGGACTGTGGGAGTTCAGGCTCAGCATTCCCAGGGAATTTGGGGACTGGGATTTGTGGGAATCCAGCCCAGCATTCCCAGGAATTTGGGGATCAGGGAGGGATTTTGGGGATTGGGACTGTGGGAATTTTGGGATTTGCGGGAATTTTGGGATTGGGATTTGTGGGAATTCAGAGATTGGTGGGAATCCATTTTGGGATTTGCGGGAATTTTGGGATTGGGATTTGTGGGAATTTTGGGATTGGGACTGTGGGAATTTTGGGAGTGGGATTTGCGGGAATCCAGGCTCAGCATTCCCAGGGAATTCTGGGATTGGGATTGTGGGAATTTGGGGATTGGGATTTGTGGGAATTTTGGGGCTGGGATTTGTGGGAATTTTGGGATTGGGGTTTGTGGGAATTCAGGGATTGGTGGGAATCCAGCCCAGCATTCCCAGGAGTTTGGGGATTGGGACAGTGGGAATTTTGGGAGTGGGATTTGTGGGAATTCAGGGATTGGGACTGTAGGAATTGTGGGATTTGCGGTAATTTCGGGATTGGGGTTGGTGGGAATCCAGCCCAGCATTCCCAGGGAATTTTGGGGCTGGGAGTTGTGGGAATTCAGGGATTGGTGGGAATCCAACCCAGCATTCCCAGGAATTTGGGGATTGGGATTTGTGGGAATTTGGGGACTGGGACAGCGGGAATTCAGGGATTGGTGGGAGTCCCCAGCATTCCCAGGAATCCGGGCTTTCCCGCAGATCCCTCGGGCTTCGTGTTCGACGCTCGCTCCGGGGCCGTGCGGGCGCAGGGCGGCGCCTCCGAGAACATGAGGGTTTTTCCCCACGTTTTTCCCATGTCTTTCCCATGTTTTTCCCATGTTTTTCCCAGATTTCCCCACATTTTTCCCATGTTTTTCCCCACGTTTTTCCCATGTCTTTCCCATGTTTTTCCCATGTTTTTCCCCCCATTTTCCCCACATTTTCCCCACGTTTCCCCACGTTTCCCACATTTTTCCCCACGTTTTTCCCCATGTTTTCCCCAGATTTCCCCACATTTTTCCCCACATTTTTCCCCACGTTTTCCCCACATTTTCCCCATGCTTTTCCCTACGTTTTCCCCACGTTTCCCCCATGTTTTTCCCCATGTCTTTCCCATGTTTTCCCCATGTTTTCCCCACGTTTTCCCACGTTTCCCATGTTTTTCCCATGTTTCCCAGGTGCAGGCCGTGCGGGCCGTGGTTCCCAACCGCAGCAACACCGAGATCGTGCTGGTGCTGCAGCACTTCGACAACGCCGTGGACAGGGCAGTGCAGGCCTTCATGGAGGGTCAGAGTGCCCCAAATCCCGGGATTCCAAAAATTCCGGGAATTCTGGGAATGCTGAGGGGGAATTCTGGGGTTTGGGGGTGGAATTCTGCATTTTGGGGGGTTGGAAAGGGAATTTTGGGGGGATTTGGGAGGGGATTTTGGGGATGAAAGCATGCAGGCCTATCATGGAGGGGGGGAATCCCAAAAAATCCTGGAATTCCCAAAAAAATCTGGGAATTCTGGGAATGCTGAGAGGGAATTCTGGGGTTTGGGGGGTTGGAGAGGGGATTTTGGGGGGATTTGGGAGGGGATTTTGGGGATGAAAGCATGCGGGCCTATCATGGAGGGTCAGAAATCAGGGAATTCCCAAAAATTCCTGGAAAATCTGGGAATTTTGGGAATGCTGAGAGAGAAATCTGGGATTCAGGGAGGAAATCCTGGGCTTTGGGGATGAAATTCAAGGATTTAGGGGCAGCTGGAAGGAATTTCAGGGGTTGGAAAAGGGATTTGGGGGAGTTTGGGAGGAGGTTTTAGGGACAGGGCAGTGCAGGCCTTCGTGGAGGGTCAGAATTCCCAAAAAATCCCGGAATTCCCAAAAAAATCTGGGAATTCTGGGAATGCTGAGGGGGAATTCTGGGGTTTGGGGGTGAAATTCTGCATTTTGGGGGGTTGGAAAGGGAATTCTGGGGGGATTTGGGAGGGGATTTTGGGGAGAAAGCATGCAGGCCTATCATGGAGGGTCAGAAATCTGGGAGTTCCCAAAAATTCCTGGAAAATCTGGGAATTTTGGGAATGCTGAGAGAGAAATCTGGGATTCAGGGAGGAAATCCTGGGCTTTGGGGATGAAATTCAAGGATTTAGGGGCAGCTGGAAGGAATTTCAGGGGTTGGAAAAGGGATTTGGGGGAGTTTGGGAGGAGGTTTTAGGGACAGGGCAGTGCAGGCCTTTTTTCCCAGGCAATGCCAGCGAGGTGCTCAAGGAATGGACGGTGACTGGGAAAAAAAAGGTAATTCCCAAAAATCCCACAAAAATTCCCAAAAAATCCCTACAAAAATCCCTAAAAAATCTCTAAAAAAATCCCCAAAAATTCCCCATTTATTCCCAATTTTGTCCTTTTTTACCCCAATTAAAACATGGATTTTCCCCAATTTTTTTCCCAATTTTTCCCCATTTTCCTCCTATTTCTTCCCAATTTTTTTCCAATTTTTTCCCCATTTTCCTCCTATTTCTTCCCAATTTTTTTCCATTTTTTTCCCAATTAAAACATGGATTTTCCCCAATTTTCCCCCCATTTTTTCCCAATTTCCCAGAATTTTTTCCCCTTTTTTCCCAATTTCTTCCCCCAATTCTTCCCCATTTAAAACCTATTTTTTTCCCAATTTTTTCCCCACTTTCCCACAAATTTTTCCTCACTTTTTCCTGATTAAAACACGGATTTTTTTCCCAATTTTCCCCAGTTTTTTCCCTGATTAAAACACGGATTTTTTCCCCCTTTCCCCCAATTTTTTCCCCATTTTTTCCTGATTAAAACATGAATTTTCCCCCCTTTTTTTTCCCATTTTTCCCCATTTTTTCCCATTTTTCCCAGAACAAGAAGAAAAAACCCAAAGCCAAAGCCCAGCCCAGCCCCTCCCCCTCAGGCCCTGGCCAGGAGGAGAAGCTGGAAAATTGGGAAAAGCTGGAAAAATTGGAAAACTTGGGAATTTCCATCAATGGTTTCCATGGCAACCGCTCCCCCAGCCTGGAGTCGCTCCCTGAGCCTGGGGCAGGTCGGGAAATTTGGGAATTCTGGGGAAATTGGGGAATTCTGGGGGGAAATTTGGGATTTTGGGAGGGAAATCTGGGAATTTGGGGGAAGTCTGGGAATTTTTGGGGTGGAAATTTGGGGTTTTTGGGGGGAAAAATTGGGATTTTTGGGGGGAAATTTGGGATTCAGGGGTAGAATCCAGGAATTTGAGGGAAAAATTTGGGATTTTTGGGGGAAAATTTGGGATTCAGGAGGGAAATCTGGGAATGGGGGCGGAATTTTGGGGGGAATTTTGGGGGTATTTGGGATGTTAGGGGGAAAAACTGGGAATTTTGGGGGGGGGAAATTTGGGAATGGGGGAAAATCCAGGATTTTGGGGATGGGATTTGAGGGAAAACTTGGGAATTCTGGGAATTTTGGGGGGGAAAATTGGGATTTTGAAGGGGATTTTGGGGAAAAATTGGGATTTTGATGGGAAATTTGAGGGAAATTTGGGATTTTTTGGGGGAAAATTGGGATTTTGGTGGAAATCTGGGAATTTGGGGATGGGATTTTCTTGGAATTTTGGATTTTCCCAGCCCTGGGGAACGGAATTCCAACTTTTCCTGCCCCGAGCCAAGCCCGGAGCCTCCGGAGCAGCCCCGGCTCCCCCGGGGGGAGGAAACTGGGTGAGAAAAATGGGGAAAAATGGGAAAAAATGGGAAAAATGGGAATTGGGGTCAGAAAAATGGGAATTTTGGAAGGTTTGGGGGCAGTTTGTGGGGAAAAAAAGGGAATTTTGGGGGGGAAAATTGGGGATTTTGGACATAAAAATGGGAATTTGGGAGGGGAAAATGGGAATTTGGGAGGGAAAATTGGGATTTGGGAGGGGAAAATGGGAAATTTGGAGGGAAAAATGGGAAATAGGGAAAAATTGGGGAAAAGAAGTGGGAAAGTCTGGGATGGCAGGAGAGAAAATAAAAAAAAAAGCAGAAAAAATTGGGGAAAAATAGAGGGAAAATCAGGGGAAAATTGGAAATAATTGGGGACAAATCAGGAAAAAATTGGGGGAAAATAAGGAAAAAATCAGGAAGAATTTGGGGGAAATTTGGGGAAAATCTGGAAAAAGTCAGAAAAGATCTGGGATAAGTTGGAAAAATCATTAAAACTCAGGAAAAATGGGAGAAAATCAGGGGAAAATTGGGAAAAATCAGGAAACATCAGGGGAAGAAATTGGGGAAAAAGGAAATAATTGGAAAAAAATCTGGGGAAAAATCTGGAAAGATCAGGGGAAAATCAGGGAAAAAAAAACAGGGAAAAATCAGGGGAAAAAGGGAAAATTGTGGGAAAAATCAGGAAAAAATTGCAAAAAATTAAGAAAAAATGGGGGAAAATTGGGGAAAAATTGGGAAAAAATCAGGGAAAAATTAGGAAAAATTGGGGAAAAAACAGGAAAAAAATTGGGAAATTAGTGGGAAAAATCAAGAAAAAAAATGGGGGAAATTGTGGGAAAAATCAGGAAAAAATCACAAAAGAATCAAGAAAAAAATGGGGAAAAATTGGGAAATTAGTGGGAAAAATCAGTTTTTTCCCTGATTTTTCCCATTTTTCCCTGTTTTTTCCCTGTTTTTCCCCATTTTCCCCGTTTTATCCCCATTTTCCCCCATTTTTCCCTGTTTTTCCCCTCTCCAGCCTCATGGATCGGGAGGTGGCTCTGCTGGCCGAGATGGACAAAGTCAAGGCAGAAGCAAGTGAGGAGAATTCCCAAAATTCCCGTTTTAATTCCCATTTTCAGTGGACCTGCTCTCCCTGCCGCAGCGCCAGGCTGGAATTCCCAATCTTTTATCCCAAATTCCCAAAATTTTATCCCAAATTCCCAAAATTTTATCCCAAATTCCCAATGCTTTATCCCAAATTCCCAAAATTTTATCCCAAATTTCCAGTGTTTTATCCCCAATTCCCAGTGTTTTATCCCAAATTTCCAATGTTTTATCCCAAATTCCCAAAATTTTATCCCAAGTTCCCAGTGTTTTATCCCAAATTCCCAATGTTTTATCCCCAATTCCCAATGTTTTTTCCCAAATTCCCAGTGTTTTATCCCGTTTTTCCCATCCCAGTGGAGCTGCTGTCCCTGCGGCAGCGCCGGGCTGGGATCCCCAGTGTTTTATCCCAAATCCCTGGTGTTTATTCCCCAATTCCCAGTGTTTTATCCCCAATCCTCACTGTTTTATCCCAAATTCCTGGTGTTTTATCCCGTTTTTATCCCGTTTTTCCCATCCCAGTGGAGCTGCTGGCCCTGCGGCAGCGCCGGGCTGGAACCCCCACTGTTTTTTCCCAAATTCCCGGTGTTTATTCCCCAATCCCCAATGGTTTATCCCCAATCCCCAGTGTTTATCCCCAATTCCCGGTGTTTTATCCCCAGTCCCCACTGTTTTTTCCCAAATTCCCAGTTTTTACCCCGTTTTTCCCTGTCCCAGTGGAGCTGCTGGCCCTGTGGCAGCGCCAGGCTGGAATTCCTGGTGTTTTATCCCAAATTCCCGGTGTTTTATCCCGTTTTTATCCCATTTTTATCCCGTTTTTCCCGTCCCAGTGGAGCTGCTGGCCCTGCGGCAGCGCTGGGCTGGAATCTCCAGTGTTTTATCCCAAATTCCCGGTGTTTTATCCCCAATCCTCACTGTTTTTTCCCAAATTCCCGGTGTTTTATCCCGTTTTTATCCCGTTTTTATCCCGTTCCCAGTGGAGCTGCTGGCCCTGCGGCAGCGCCGGGCCGAGGCGCTGCGCGCGCTGACCGAGGCGGCCCCGGGGATGTCGGAGGAGCAGCTGCAGGAGCTCCGGGCTGACATCAAGGTGGGCCCGGGAATTCCCGGAATTCCTGACCCAGATCCCGTGGGAATCCTGACCCCAGTCCCGTGGGAATTCCTGACCCAAATCCCGTGGGAATTCCTGACCCAGGTCCCATGGGAATCCTGCCCCAGATCCCTTGGGAATTCCGAGTCCATCCCGTGGGAATTCCTGCCCCAGTCTCCTGGGAATTCCTGGCCCAAATCCTCTGGGAATTCCTGACCCCAATCCCATGAAAATCCTGCCCCAGATCCCTTGGGAATTCCGAGTCCATCCCGTGGGAATTCCTGCCCCAGTCTCCTGGGAATTCCTGACCCAAATCCCCTGGGAATTCCTGGCCCAAATCCCCTGGGAATTCCAAGCCCAACCCATGGGAATTCATCCCCAATCCCATGGGAATTCTGATCCCAATCCCATAAAAATCCTGACCCAAATCCCATAGGAATTCTTGACCCCTATCCCCTGGGAATTCTCACCCCATTTCCAACAGGAATTCCCGTTGTCCCTGCCCCATTCCCACGGAATTCCCGTTGTCCCTGCCCCATTCCCAACAGGAATTCCCATTGTTCCCTGCCCCATTCCCACGGAATTCCCGTTGTTCCTGCCCCATTCCCAAGGAATTCCCGTTGTCCCTGCCCCATTCCCACGGAATTCCCGTTGTCCCTGCCCCATTCCCACGGAATTCCCGTTGTTCCCGTTCCCAGCACTTTGTCAGCGAGCGCAAGTTCGATGAGGAGCTGGGCCGGGCCGGGCGCTTCGGCTGCGACCTCGAGGCCCTGAGGGGCAGCATCGGAGCCTTCGGCCAGGGTGGGTCTGGGATTCGGGAAAACTGGGAAAAACCTGGGAATACTGCCCTGGGAATGGCCCCGGCCTTCGGCCAGGGTGGGTCTGGGATTCCGGGAAAATCCCATGGAAAATCCTGGGAAAATCCTGTGGGAATTTCTCCTGATGTGGCCAGGGCGGGTCTGGGGTCTCGTTCCCGGTGCTCCCAGTGCCTCTCTCTCTGCAGTTTCCCACCCCAGGCCGAGCTATTCCAGCCGCTCCCGCTGCAGCTCCGGCCCCGGATCCTCGGGATCGGCCCCGGGATCAGCCCTGGCGCTCCCAGCAGGATCAGCCCCGGGATCAGCCCCGGGATCAGCCCCGGCGCTCCCAGCAGGATCAGCCCCGGGATCCCCCCTGGGACTCCCGGAATTCCCGACGGGATCAGCCCCGGGACCCCCCGAGGACGGCGCGGCCCCAACGGAGCCACCCCCGACCCCACAGGTGGGAGCGGGACACGGGGGGGGATTTGGGATGGGATCAGGATCAGGATGGGATTTGGGATCGGGATGGGATTTGGGATCGGGATCAGGATTTGGGAAGGGATGTGGGATCTGGGATCAGGATCAGGATGGGATTTGGGATCTGGGATAAGGATCAGGATGGGATTGGGATCCAGATGGGATTTGGGATAAGGAGCAGGAGTTCTGGGATTTGGATGGGGATCAGGATTGGGGCTGGGATCGAGGGTTCAAGACTGGGAATGTTGGATCAGAATTGGGATCAGGATCAGGATTGGGATTGGGATTGGGACTGGGATCGGAGGGGCTGGGACTGGGATTTGGGATCCAGGTTCTCCCCCCTTTTCTCTCCCACCCTTCCCAGAATTTGGCAATTCAGGGATTTTCTCTGGGATTGGGATTTGGGGTCATTTCCTGGGATTTGGGGTCATTTCCCCTTTTCCCGCAGCCCCCCCAGCGGAGCCGGAAACCCCCGGGAGCAGCCGGACCCCGCCCCTCCCCCCAGCGCCCCCCCCAAAATCCCCTCAAAAAAACCCAAAATCCCCCCCAAAAACTCCTCTGAGACCCCTCAAAAAAACCCAAAAAATCCCTGGGACCCCCAAATCCCCCCAAAAAAACCAAAATCCCCCCAAAAAACTCCTCTGAGACCCCCAAAAAAGCCCTGGGACCCCCAAACTCCCCAAAAAACCCCAAATCCCCCCAAAAAACTCCTCTGAGACCCCCCAAAAAAACCCCGGGACCCCCAAATCCCCCGAGACCCCCAAACCCCCCGGGGACCCCAAACCCGCCTGGAGCCGCCCCGGCCCCCGCAGGAGCCGCCCCGAGGGGGCCAATTCCTGAGACCCCTCCCCAAAATCTGGGATCGGGATTTGGGATCCCCTCCCGGGAACGTTTACAGCTCCCACTTTGTGCCATTTTCCCCCTTTTTTCCCCCAATTTTTTCCCATTTTTTCCTCTTTTTTCCCCATTTTTTCCCTCTCTTTTTCCCCTTTTTTCCATTTTTTCCCCCATTTTTTCCTCTTTTTTCCCCTCTTTCCCCCCCCCCTCCCTTCCTGTGTTTTTCCCACTGGGATTTTTGGGGTTTGGTTTTATCCCAATCCAGGAATTTTTCCCCCCAAATTCCCAAAATCCCAACCCTGACCTCGCGCTGGCAGCGAGGGAAGAGCCGGGATGGGAATTGGGGGGGAAGTTTGGGATTTTGGGGGGGAAAATTTGGGATTTGGGGCCTCCCAAAATCTGGGATGTCCCCCTGGAATTTGGGATGTCTCTTCCTGACCCCAAAATTTGGGAATTTCCCCTTTGGAATTTGGGATTTCCATTTGGGATTTGGGATTTCTCTTTGGAATTTGGGATTTTCCCCTTTGGAATTTGGGATTTTCCCCTTTGGAATTTGGGATTTCCCTTTAGGAATTTGGGATTTCCCTTTGGAATTTGGGATTTCCCTTTGGAATTCCAGGTGTCCCCCCTCCCCCCCCACGACACTCCAGCATTTTTGGATTTTCTCTGGAATTTATTTCAGGAATTTCCTCCCCCCTCCCCTCCCCAAACCCCAATCCCAGCCCCGAATTTTTGGGAATTTTGGGAGGTTTCCCAATTTTCCCCCTTTTTTCTTTTTCCCATCTTTTTTCCAAATTTGTTTTTTTTGGGAATTTTTTCCCCCTCAACGAACAAAAACTTGAGAAAAATCCAATAAAAACTTTGGAGCTTTAAAAATCGGGAATTTTTTTTGGGAAGGCGCCGAAATTTGGGAT